TTTTGTCAGATGCGTTCATTTGTCAAAGAATGATTCCAGTCCTAAGTAGAAAAAAATAAAATTGATCACAAACCCGTGCCGCTTTTTCGACTCCGTAAAATGGTATAGCCTAACATATATTTTGACGTGACGTCATTGCGTAAGAAAGGTCCCCAAAATATCTTTGTATCATGGTAAGGGGACCTTTCTGTTGAAATGTGTCACAGTTAAATCCTTATACATATACATGCAAAGTGCGTTAACTGGAGTGCAGGTATTAGTTACCCGCACTCCAGAGCATGCCAAAAGCGATAGAACTATCATATTCAGATGCTCGTTCATTGGTTTCTTTTTTCTGGGGCAACAGGGAACGTGTTTTTATGTTTCACTATGATACAAAAAAGAAAGAACATTAAAAATTCGGCAATCTAAAGACGCGCTAAATGTTAGCGTTACACTTTTGGCGCGCTAATGAAAAATGAGACTTTTGAACTTAACAAAAAATGATTATTTTGCACTTTAAACAGTCTTCATTCATAGAATGTGATAAATAGAATATCATATTCGTGTAGGTTCTTGACTGAATTTATTCAATAATATTTTGTTCGCCAGAAGGTCGCATAATATGATTTTATTCAACTCGTTCAAAAAATTCAACATTGAACTATCCCTCATTCCATTCAATATTCTCAGTCTATTTATAATTGGTTAACAATTTTACAAGCATTTTGATCTAATCCATAGGACATTTTATCCGTTAAAGAGCAAATAATTTGTAAAATGAGCCTCGCAGATGATCAGAGAAGTACACAATATGAACATTTATGTCAACGTTTTAATTATGCATACAACTTTTCATCTCGAGTTAAATGTATAAAAGACATTGATTTAAAGGCACATTATGACTCAGACACAAATTAATGTCTACGTTTTTAAGAGAGAGAGAGAGAGAGCAAACATCAATTTTAAAATGTTTAAATAACGTTTCAGATAAATGTTCAATGCTTGTTACCTGAAAAAAATAGTGATATAATTTGTCATAAAAGTGGCAAAATGTAAATAATGTAGTATTTTGACTTCCATACAATATACATATTCACTATAACAATACTTATTGCCAAATAGCAGCAGATGAAATAAATGGTTTCGGTAAAAAGCCAATGCGTAACTTTTTGGATACTATAAGAGTACACCAAACTTAAAAACTCAAAATTAAAATGAAAGCATTTCTGAGGCAAAATTGGCCTTTAAAAGAGAAGAGATATTTAAAAGTGTTTGAACCTGTTTTTTCCTTATATATCTGTTTTTTACTACATGTATCATGCGCATAGACGACCCGACAAATTGGAGATTAATACGTTAGGGGGCAGGGGACATATTCGAATGATGGCCCCGGTCAAATTTTTTAATAACTCATACATGGTGTTTTGAAGATACTGATAACTTCTGATATTTCTCTGTCATTGTAATTCTTTCTTGTTTGTGTGTAGGAAATGAGGTATATTTTTGGGTTTTTACCCGAAACTAAGCATTTTGGTAGCTTTGTATGTATTTCTGACTCTCCGAATGGAGGTGAAAAAGTTAAAAATCAAGCTTTGACAGTTGGCGCCAAACAAGTAAGAAACTTCAGATAAATTTTGTGAAAAATCTAAACGTATGACAGACACTTTATTTGTCATTTCTGAAAATGCCATAGCTTGCACTGCGTGTTACTGATATTTTTAAAGGAATCGGGCGGATTCTGGAGTATGCTGCACCTTCATGAAGATTGCCTATATTGGTATATTTTAGGTGTGATTTTGGCTGGGTGGGGGTAAATATAAATTGCTGTCAGTCATTTTTTGAAGGAGCAATGCATGCAAACTATTATTTTCTTCAATGTATGTTATATATCATTGAATAATGCTGTGCAACTGGTTATCTGCCTGTGAAACAGATTTTGAAATATTTGAAATTGTGTTTCTGGTCACACTGAAATACAAAACTTTTCATTTTTCATTACGTAATGACCTTGCTAACATAATACCATTACGTAATGACCCTGCTAACGTAATACCATTACGTAATGACATTGCTAACGTAATACCATTTAGTAATGACTTTGCTAACATATTAGCATTACGTAATGACCTTGCTTACGTACTACAATTACGTAATGACATTGCTAACGTAATACCATTACGTTATGACATTGCTTGCTAACGTAATACCATTACGTAATGACATTGCTAACGTAATACCATTACGAAATGACCCTGCTAACGTAATATCATTACGTAATGACATTGCTAACGTAATACCATTTAGTAATGACTTTGCTAACATATTAGCATTACGTAATGACCTTGCTTACGTAATACCATTACGTAAAGACCTTGCTAACGTAATACAATTACGTAATTACCTTGCTAACGTAATACCATTTAGTTATGACTTTGCTAACGTATTATCATTAAGAAATGACACTGCTAACGTAATACGATTACGTATTGATTTTGCTAACGTAATACCATTTAGTAATGACCTTGCTAACGTATAAGCATTACGTAATGACCTTGCTAACGTAATACCATTTAATAATGACCTTGCTAACGTAATACCATTTAGTAATGACTTTGCTAACATATTAGCATTACGTTATGACCTTGCTAACGTATAGGCATTACGTAATGACCTTGCTAACGTAATACCATTTAATAATGACCTTGCTAACGTAATACCATTTAGTAATGACTTTGCTAACATATTAGCATTACGTAATGACCTTGCTAAAGTAATACCATTTAGTTATGACTTTGCTAACGTATTATCATTACGTAATGACATTGCTAACGTAATACCATTTAGAAATGACACTGCTAACATAATACCATTACGTATTGACTTTGCTAACGTAATACCATTTAGTAATGACCTTGCTAACGTATAAGCATTACGTAATAACCCTTTCTAACGTAATACCATTTAGTAATGACCTTGCTTACGTAATACCATTAAGTAATGACCTTGCTAATGTATTACCATTACGAAATGACCTTACTATCTTTTTACCATTACGTAATTACCTTGCTAACGTAATACCATTTAGTAATGATCTTTCTAACGTAATACCGTTACGTAATGACCTTACAAACGTTATACTGTTACGTAATGACCTTGCTTACGTAATACCATTCAGTAATACCATTATGTAATGACGTTGCTTAATAAATACCATTACGTAATGACGTTTCTAACGTAATACAATTTAATATTATACCTCATTTGCATACGCCGTTCTATATTTAATATGACGTCATCCGGTCCATAAATCGCAGACAGACCGGCTACCTAGTCTATAATTCATATATGGACTGGATGACGTAATATTAAATATAGAAGGGCGTATGTGAATAAGGTATAATATTTACTTGTTTTTAATGATTCTTTTTACTGAATTAATTGTTATGCTTCAAGTTTCAAGTTTTATTAAATATATATCCCAGTTTGCATTACAATACAAAAACATGAGACAAATACATTTGCTTCACATAAATTAATCACACATCCCTGCCGATTTTGCGACCCTGTAAAAATTGTATTGCACGGTCGTGCATATATTTTGACGTGATGTCATTAGCGTTATACAAACATAGTGTAAAGATGCGCTAAATGTTAGCGTTAAATTATGACTTTTTTCACTTTAAACGTTCTTTATTTTGGGTATGTGATAAATAGAATATTTAATTCATGTAAGTTCATTACTGAATTTATTGACCTCGTTGAATAAAATATTGAATTTTATTCAACTCGTATTGAACTTACACTCATTCAATATCCTCTATATATTTAATGTTGATCAAAAATCATGATTTGTCTTTAATTAAATTATAAATTTTATTTATACAGTTTGTGAAATTTTTAAAGTCCTGGTTATTGACTAGAAACATTTAATATTTAATTTGTTAACAAAAATAGAATATTAAAAGAAAAGCATGATTTTTAGCTGCATCGTTTGAAAAAAATCCGATTAGGTTTTGAGATATTTCACACACTGAACAAATAACATTATTACTTGAAAGCAAGACAGTTATAGTAAAAATGACAGCAACAAAAGGGGTGAAAGGATTCGGTATAATATAACAGATGAAACATGGCCTTTTATTCGGGAAAAATGCAAGTTTACGGACTGGTTGTTCAGACCTCGAGAGGTATATGGCCCTCAGCTGCGCTTCAGGTCATATACCTTCCTCAGTCTGACCAACCAGTCCGTAAACTTGCATATTGCCCTCAAGACCATGCTTTATTTTGTTAAGTAATGGCCTTGCTAACCTAATACTATTACGTAATGATCTTTCAAACGTAATAACATTACATAATGACGATTCCTACGTCATTACGTTACGTAATAACCTTTATTACATGATTTTCGATGGATTATAGAAATGTATCAGTGATTTATAAACTGGTAATTTAACTGTTTGAAACAGTGAAATTATCAATTTGATAATTTCACTGTTTTGAATTTAAGCCCGTTACGTTGTCTCAGAGAAATACCAGCGTGTACAGTACTGGAAACCAGCTTAATGACGTGACGTCGTAAATGACGTCACGTTTTATTTGAATTTGGCGCGCTTTTCATTTAGTACTAGGATAAAATGTCTTTTTAAACGTTTCTTAGCATGTAACAAAAAGAAAATTTGTTAAGTTCAGTGTAAGATCGGAATATATTTCACCGAGTGAGCACCAAAAGGTATGGCCAAATTTAGAATTGCTTGTATTTGGCTCTCGTGGAGTAAACTATAAAGAGACTGTACAACTTTCTGTGTCTCGTGAGATAGAAACCTATTATAATCCTATCTCGCCAAATACAAGATCCACATCAAGATACTCTTTTATTAACTCTATTTAAAAGCAGAAAACACTTTCTATAACTTGATGTAATAATCAAATCGCTTTGTTTCAAATATCTTTTTTATAATTAATATACAGCAGATGGAAACATTAAAAAATAAAAGGATAAATGTTGAGAAGACAAAAACAATATTCAGTTTAAGCGCTTGAGTTTAAACTCTTTATTTTTACACTATACGTCACAGTATTTTTGCAATGACCTGTATATTTGGCTCCTCCTCCTAACAAGTCATTCAATCTCGTTCGCGCATGCTTAGTAGACTGGGTATATAAACCGAGCACGCTTCTGCAAATTCCTTTTCGATCAAGTCTCCGAGCTCCAGAAGCTGCCGTGAACTAACACGGAAAAATATTGGAGAAAAAATTATGTAGCGGTTCTGAACAAACATGGCAAAAAGACTTCATTTTTGTGTTTTTTAAAGTAGCCGAAGGTAGAGTTGCTTTTCTTTTTTATCTTTAATAGAATCTATTGTGTTAAATTTATCTAACAAACCAATTTTTCAAATTTTATTACGACCACGAGATTCAAACAATCTAGATCTATTACCGATACTGTAGGCTTAAGGGCAGAGAAAGGTCTGAGAAAAAGTGATCCTACTAAAGACATTGTTGATACTATTTTGCAATACTGCAGTAGGTTTATTTAGCCTAATAAAAACAAATATTATTTGATCACGTCATCACTAGACTTTATGACGTAACAAATACCTTGTGACTAGTGGAGTATACAGTGTAATAATTAAATGCCCTGACAGTATGTTATTGTGTTAATGTTTATAAAGTATTGATAAAGAAACTTTATCTACCCATAAATTATGTTGAATGCTTGTCCAGGTAGATCTATCCTTTAATATATTAAACTTTTCACGTAGGGATGCTTCATAATGGTTAGTAATGTCATTCGTAGACATTGTAAGTCGTGATAACGTAATACGTTAACCTTGTATTTGTTGTAAACTCAGCATTTTAATTCTGATTTTATTCTACTTTCTTTTACAAATTGCTGGGGCCATGCCAAACGACAACCAGAACCTAACCTGTCACAAGTTTTCTGGCTGTCAAGGTTTCTTTGAAGAGACTGGTCAACATTATGTTCTAGACAATGGCACCAGAACAGAACACAGAAGTCGGTAGAACCAGCAGAAGTTGTGATGCCTAAATCAAGCTAATTGTTGATACAGATTAACCGATAGACAGGTGACGTCACTGTTTTTAAATACAAATTATAGTTAAAATTTAATCTATGCTGTTTGTAACAAATATGACATTATCAATTAAATACACATATATTCCTTATTACAGAAGAGTTCTTCTAAAATGCAGAATATTAACAAAATGTCGGTATTTAACATAAAATTTTCTTAAAAGCAACTGTCACAACTGTAAGAAAATGTTTTAAACTTGGGCGGATACCTTGGAGTGATGGAATTTTTGTAATTTTGCACATTAGTAATTATCTATTACTGTATCAAATAATACGATAATATTTCCAGTACTGTCATGTCAAAAATCTCTTCAGTCGAGTACTTTTAAGTTATAAGACATCAAGGACCTCTAATTCATAAAATGACTATAATAATAAAATATTTTGGGGAGACAGGAAAAAGAAAAGTCAATTAATGATTAAATGGACATGTGACTATTGATACACTTACATCTAGTCATCACAATATTATTCTTTAACTGATGTAAAATTATGTCTATATTATAATACATTCGAGTTAACATGAACTAGATCTACGCTCTTGGTTTTGCTCTTAAATATAGTTTAAATCTAGGGAATATGCCTATTTGGATATTAAATCTGCATTCATCCTTTGCGGGAACATTAATTGTAAATAAACATTTGCCATTTTAAAGGGTCGGGTTGCACAATTTTCATTTTCAAAGTCAAGCAATAATTTCTAAAATTTTATAGATATCGTTCAAATCGCAGTAGTTTAAACCTATGACTTTCTGTCATTAGGTTAGGATTTTGGTTTTCTTACATTATAACATGTGACGTTTAGTTAAGTATTTACATATTAAGTGACTGACATCGACGCCGAAAACTAAGCCATCCGAATTCCTCAGCATAATTTGCACAAATTCATAGTCTTGAGTGTGAGCATCAGTTTTGAGTTTTATTACTAAATGCAAAAAAAAAAAAAAAAGTAATAATAATTATTATTATAATATTAATAATAATAAGAATGACAATAATGATGCAATGATATGGATGTTATTGCTCAACGGTTTCGTCGTATCAATTTTAATGAGTTAAGGTTAAATAAGTTTTTGAAATTTATATTAAAGGCGATCATTGGTAATTAACGGCATGGCTTATGGGGAGAATAGCATTTCTTGAGAAATTTTCTTTTAAGAATTCGTACCAAGTGGAATTGTTGCATGTATACATCTGTTAGGAAACGATGTGAAAAATAAAAATTATATAATTAATACTGCTGAGAAATATGAAATTGTCAAATAGACAAAATATATGGATCCATGAAGAATAAATGAACGTGTGATGAAATTTGCTTTCATCTAATATTGTTTATCTTAGAAATAAACACTAAAATAAAAATAAAAAATAAAGAAAAATAAAAAAATAAAAATAAAAATAAAAAAAAAATAATAATAAATATATGCTTAATACAGAATACTATTGCTGATTCAATGACACGTTTTCAATGGTCAAGGTTATTTCGGGAATAGCCATTATGGCTATTCCCGGATTAACCACAACAGGCATCTAGGCTTCCCTCCAATACCATTAAAGATCCTGTTTCATATTTTTTTCATGGTTTTATTTCATAAATATGATGCTCAAATTAAGATCTGTCAATATTGTAAGTTCCAATAAGTATTATTTATAACGATATTACCTAATTTAACATTTCATGTAAATAAAGGGAGGTAATTAGAAATGTATTTCCTATAATAAAGTCAAATTTTCCAATAAGAAATGAATGCATATAATTTATTGATTAATTATAATATGCACAAATGTTTGCAGTACACACTTTACATATTCTTCGATGTTTGAAAATTGTTTTATTTGCATAATTATATAGTATATATAATACATATATAAATTTTTGCAAGTGTGGTATACACTCAGTAACAATATCAATTACAAAACATACAGGATCTTTAAGCATTTCTTCAGATATTCAACCGGAAGTAGAAAGATTAGTTTATTATCAATTAGTTCGTCACCCTCGGGCTACAGAAAATCTGGAATTGAGTGATATGTTTATTTTCGGTTCTGTTTTTAATATAGCCACCCTCAGTCTTACATAAACTGATATAAATGGCATACCTGCTTTTGCAACAATACGCACGTCACAACGTTGTTGCATTTGCCTCAATTACCTAATGTAAACTATAAAGCCTTGTTTATAAAACAAAGCAATTCATTGTGTGACAGTAGCATATCGAGGTTGAAGAATACTAGTTTGGACTAGAAATTAAACGTAAACTTACTTAGAAAATCTAAAAAATTACTTAAGAAATATTTATGCCTTCAGTTTGAAGAAATTCTCTACTTTTTCGTCACGTGTTACTGACAATATCCAAATTTCCATCTTGAAACAACTTACTAAAAAGTACATGTTTGACTATAATGATATATTTATTAATTAACTATAGGCAAAATGTCCGTTTTTTAACCGCACACAAATGATCTACATTCTAGAGTGTATTGGTACGTTTAATAGCATCGCTTAAACGACAAAATAGAAAAGGAAACGTATTGATGATATACAATTGTATCTTTAATAGATATCCCAATACAAATGATAAAGCTTCAATGGCTGTACTTTCATGCCATTTAATTTAAAACAGCATGCCTCTAGATTCATGAAAATTTAAAAAAAATCATGTTGGATACAGCACTTACAACCTATGTAATTCAGCAAAATAAAAGAAGTCAAAATATGCAAAATAACCCTCATTGCGTTAGTAACGCAGTAGAAATATGGTGGAAAATACTGCAAAACATATTGCATATTATAAAGATATTAATTCAGTTTTGAATCTTTTATTGTTCTTATAAATCAAGTACTTTTCTTTTGTTTGATTTTCTTGAAATATTTTGATTTCATCTGGGGGAGTGCAGCTTTAATGTAAATTGCATTAAATTTATAAGCATATGTTTTTAATAACATTAAACCCAACTCATTCAGAATAGGCTATGTATCCAGTTGTACATGTAGTTAAGTAAAAGGTAGATAACCGTCAAATATTCGTTCAACTCGTATGATTCTTGTACAGTATATGTTTATAGTAGTATTTTAAGTGAACTTGATAACAGGGTGTTTCTAACTAAGGAAGACACTGCTTTCAAAATTATAAAGAGAAACAAAAGGTTCTGCCAATTGCCCGTAATGATATATTGGGCCGGCAGTCCGCCTTTGGGTTTAAATTTGCAGTGTCTATAATAAATATAATTATGGGTGCAGTTTACCCACATTTAAATGTATTTGTGATACCGTCGACGGATTACAATGCAGTAATTTAATTTCACTTAATAATTAATATATCACCCTGGAAAAAGAAAGAAAGAAAAAAAAATCATAATGGGTGCAGTTTACCCAGATATATTTTTATTATGGGTGTAGTTTCCCAGATATATTTCTATTATCATATGGGTGCAGTTTACCCAGATATATTTCTATCAGATTGAACATGGGTGCAGTTTACCCAGACTTATTGCACTTTTGGGTGCAGTTTACCCAGATATATTTTATTATGGGTGCAGTTTACCCAGATATATTTCTATCAGATTATCATATTGAACATGGGTGCAGTTTACCCAGATATATTTTATTATGGGTGTAGTTTACCCAGATTTATTTCTATTATCATATGGGTGCAGTTTACCCAGATATATTTCTATCAGATTGAACATGGGTGCAGTTTACCCAGACTTATTGCACTTTTGGGTGCAGTTTACCCAGATATATTTTTATTATGGGTGCAGTTTACCCAGTTATATTTCCTAATTTTGAACATATATGGGTGCAAATTACACAAGGATATTCATGGAATTTTGAACATTTATAGCTGCATTTTCCCAAATACAATAATGTAATTTTGTACATTTATTGGTGAATTTTGGCCAAGTATTGGTACATTTTTTCATTGCAGATAATTCACGTAAAAATTACCAATTAAAAATAATATGTTATAAAATTGTATCGTTGTGAAGAACAAATTCGTTATAACAATAACATGTTTAAAAATAGGTTTTCCGGTGACCCAATTCCTTGCATGGTTGGTTGGCTCATCTCTAGTAAAGACACTTTTCATTAGTTTTTCGTTTTGTGTGGCATGTGCTCTTGTTTGTGAAGTTTTTGTGTGACATGTGCATTTCATTTCATAGAGCCTACAATTTAGTATCTTATTATTTAAATCTACCTGCATATTTGCTTGAACATTACGGTGTGATTCAGTGTGATTCAAATGGGTTCTTCTTCGTCAGCGACTGCTGATGAAGAAGAAACTTCCTTTTAAGCCTAGATAAATACAAATTTTCCTATGGTTGTGCAACATCTTTCCAAGCACTTAATTAATTCAGTCCCAGATTTGTTTGCGACATTCTTATAGATATATGGCTGTTCTCTTTGGTGGGACGTATCTATAGTGACATACAAAATAGTACAAACTTTATTAGAAATAGGGATTGTTGATAAGTCTTAAAACCCCGTGATCTTTTTGAGTAGATGGTGCCATTAACTCCTGTCTCGTCACAATACTACGTTAATTAATTAAATTTCGTTCGTGGTGTATGCTTAGACACACCAGTATCTGCAATTAACTCGTCATGACTGAGTCATTTATTTTGGTTTATGTTAGCCCGCTGTTGGCGGAAGGCTCTCTCAATTCTTCAAGACCCTTTTGGCGAAAATCTAACATAAAATTACAGGTTTTTGCAATCGATGACGAAGCAAAACCTATTTTATAATATTCTATTTTATATAAAGGTTCAAACTCTATTAACTTTATGTTACTTAATGACCAGTCATGACGGAAATTTTATGCCAACCATAAATAAAATAAGTTAAACATATATGTTGCATTTATTATCATTTGTTCCTTTAAAGTGACTATGTTGGAAAAATAATATTCAGTTTAAGCGCTTGAGTTTAAACTCTTTATTTTTACACTATACGTCACAGTATTTTTGCAATGACCTGTATATTTGGCTCCTCCTCCTAACAAGTCATTCAATCTCGTTCGCGCATGCTTAGTAGACTGGGTATATAAACCGAGCACGCTTCTGCAAATTCCTTTTTCGATCCAGTCTCCGAGCTCCAGAAGCTGCCGTGAACTAACACGGAAAAATACCCACCCGCCCTTCCCATTTGCTTTGCTGTTGTCTCTTTTTTTCTGTTTTCAGGTAATTATGACCGCCGCGATACTTAGCCCTTCTTCGTCATGGCTGGAATTATCATTTCAACAGTCAATATTTTGTTTTGCGACATCCGGAAATTTACCAACGTCGACTGCCAGACCCCTATCATTTGAATCCGACGTCGGTTCAAAATTTACATTTAACTGGCCTGTACATAACCATAAACATTTCGAACACCTGTGGGATGCAACTGACTTTCGGATATTTGTAGAATAGTCATTAGATAACCTGTAACCGATGTCGGTACAAAACAAAACACTGTTAATTAACTTAACCCATGTGTAAATAAAACACATATTGTCTTTAAAAAAAAAATTGATATAATGGTTATTATCATATCATTACATTGTTATACATGGTTTCAAGCAAGTTTACTTACATTATATATCACACTACTATTTATTTAAAATTATAATTTTTCTTATAAAGAACGTTTCTCTTTATTGAGCTGTATGTATTTTGTATTTTATATGTTTACTGGCATACCTGAGCAGGTCCGTTGTTCTATATTCCGAGGAATAGTCTGAGGAGGTTTCCTCCGTGCATGCCAACGGATGCTACGGTTCCTCTTAAAAAAGGGGTTTTACGTAGGCGGCCAGTATTCCTAAGACGAATATACGATCAAACCTGTTGAGTAATTGTTCTGGTTTGGAATGTCCTAGACATTCTATGGCAGTTTTGATCGTGATATGCTTGATAAATGTATTTATATATACAAATGGCTGTATCAGTCTTTTCAAAATTTAACTTAATTTTTATTGATAATATTTATAAAACATATTTTATAAGCTTCGGATATCAAGTGTTTATCATATCTGGCATTGTAAGCACATTGTCTCTTTTTCGAAACATACTTTTAATTGATTATATCTGAATAAACATATTAAGCTACCGAAGCATATATAAGCAATATATAAAATGTCACTTCCGGCTGTTAGGATATGAGTATTAGTCATATAATATTATAATTGATATACATGTAATTGTTTATATTCTATAACAGATTGTCTGGAATATTTAATGCTCTTATTCAGCCGTCGATATGGCGAAAATCTAACATAAAATTACAGGTTTTTGCAATCGATGACGAAGCAAAACCTATTTTATAATATTCTATTTTATATAAAGGTTCAAACTCTATTAACTTTATGTTACTTAATGACCAGTCATGACGGAAATTTTATGCCAACCATAAATAAAATAAGTTAAACATATATGTTGCATTTATTATCATTTGTTCCTTTAAAGTGACTATGTTGGAAAAATAAAAAAAGAAAACAAAAATTCTCAAGCACTCAAGCATTCTTAAAGGTGAATATCAGATATTTTTCGTAATTATAAACATATTTTGATATTTAATTTTCAGTAAAATTAAAGCCCGTATTGTATGTTTGATCTGTAATGACGTAACTGGCATAATATCCTTACATTGAATACTCGACTCAAATTAATTAATAGAAAGAGCATCAAAATACGAGGCTATCTGATTTGTACGAGGGGCGTAAAAATAACAACATATTTCTTGTTGTCACAATAAGAACCCCAGAAGAAAGTAGCTAATAAACGAGCAATGAATATGATATTGCTATCTCTTTTTCTTTCTCTGTCGTCACAATAAGAAAACCCTAGAAAAATGAGCCAATCAATGGGCATTCTCTAGAGTGCGGGTTACTAATACGTGCACTCTGACAGGTAACGCACTGTGCATGTTTACGAGTTAACTCTGACAATTTTCAACAACTATGGTACATGTACAATGTTAAGATCAATATCTTATAATAACGTTATTTCATTCAATCACACGATGATATATAAAAACAAAATATATGCATACATAGAAGCTATATTTTCATTTCCATCAATCATACCATTTACTTTTTTGATAAAATTTGCTCAAGAAATAGCATATGACTACTGTTTCGGTGTGACGTTTGTTCGTTTGTTTGTTTCTTTCATTTTACGCCTTTTCCCAACAGTATTTCAGTCATATAGCCTGGTAGTTTGCTAACCATCGTTCCTGGAGAGTTACACCAGTAAAACCCAGTCAAAACAAACGCACAGTATATATACGAAATTACTGTACCCTGCGAGTGTATACAAGTCTGTACACTGTCTTGCGAGTTCAAGCACATGTTACTTGCGATCACTGTACTTCTTGGTAGCCTATATATAGTGAACTTATATTCTTTGCGAGTACAGGAAGTATTCTAGTTTATACTGAGAAACAAACAAGAAATAGCATGCGTCATATTGTTTTTAACTTTTATCATTAATCTCTTTCATCGAGCAAACAAAGTAACGACAAGATAAATTGGGATAAATATGAACACTCCTGTTAACTTCGTAACAACAAATCATGCTAAAGATATTTTAAGACATATATATTTTTGCTAAGTCTCTTTCATAGTTGTACTGAAATAACAACAAAATTACATTCGACCC